ATAATAATAATAATAATAATAATAATAATAATAATAATAAAGTTGGAAAGGACCTTGGAGGTCATCTAGTCCAACCCCCTGCTCAGGCAGGAAACCCTATACCATTTCGGACAAATGGCTGTCCAGTTTCTTCTTAAAAACTTCCAGTGTTGGCGCATTCACCGCTTCTGGAGGCAGGTTGTTCCACTGGTTAATTGTTTTAACTGTCAGGAAGTTTCTCCTTAGTTCTAGGTTGCTTCTCTCCTTCATTAGTTTCCATCCATTGCTTCTGCCTTCAGGCGCTTTGGAGAATAGCTTGACTCCCTCTTCTATTTTTCTATTTTTCTTCTACTTATTTTCTTTTCTTTTTCCTTTAAGTTTTTCTTTTATTTTTTTCCTTTTTCTTCTTTTTCATTCTATTTTAGTTTGTATTAATTCTTACTACAGTTGTTAAAACTTTCTGTAAAATTATGTATATTTTAAAAGGGAAACAAGCTCCCCCCTCCCTTTGTTATAGTTTGGAATATCAGTTAAATTCTTTCTGCCATTACTCCAAAGATAGTAGTTGGGATATGACCAGCTGCCAAAGCAATATATATTTAAATGTTTATGCCATGTCAGTCTAGTTATTGTTCAAGATAATTGCCTGACCTTTAGCCACAGTGGCATCTGCAGTCAATAATCACAGTAAAAAGGCAAATTGAGATAAGAATACAGTAGATAGTTTTTCCAAGGAAATGAAATTGACTCAAAGCAAGTTGAGGCAAAACTCTGCAATACCCTTTATGATCTATAATTATTAATCAATACATATAAATTCTGTGTTGACTCTTATGTCTTCTAAGCATGCACTTTCCCCTCCCCTCCTGTACTCCCCGAATCCCCTCTACAGTAATATGTTTGATTCTGGTGAAATAATTGACAAATTATTCTGTCAATAGGCAGATGGATACCATTACATTTTACTCAATATAATAATCCTCAAGTTACAACCGGACCGTTCAAATTTTTGATAGACTCCTTCCAAGACGTACTCATAACCCAGATTCAATATTCCGATGGCTGCACCCTTCCCTGCAATTGTGTGATTTTATTTTAGGCACTCAGCAAACGGCCCACATTTAATACTGTTTGCAGTCTCATATCATTATGTGACTGTGATGTAGAATGTTTTTGCTAGAGACTGGCATTTACTTCTAGTTTCTGGCAAAAAAAAAAAAGTCTATTGCAGAGAATAGTTTCCCTTAATAGCCATGGTGTTTGCTTTATAAGCACCACGTTCGCTTTACGACCATCACAAAAAAGGTTGTAAGATCAGGTGATGACAGAATAGAGGAATACAATAATAACTTTACTGTCACTTTAAATGTACACTAATCAGCTTACATTAAAATGAAATTTCATTGCATTCAGCTCTCAAAGGGTAACCATCTCCAATGTACACTACATAAACATGTCAAAAGATTATGCATATATCCACATACACACATATATATGACACACAGAAACAACATAGTCTAGTTCGGATGTATACATATACATGGAGAGAAAAAAGAATCCTGCGAATTTACAAGACGGATGGCCAAAGGAAGAAAGCTATTGCAGAATCTAGTAGTCCTGCTAGAAATATCCACTTAACTGGCACAATTTACAACCTTAATTCCAGGCTCAATTATGGTCATTAGTTGAGAACTGCTTGTAGGCTTTCATTGGCCGCTATTCTCATGACCTACGTTATTTAACTATATAACAGTTTTATTGTCATTAAATATACTTATGATATGTGTATAAATTGCATTTTTGTAAGTTATCGTGATGTTCTACAAAAAACAAAAAATTAAAACAAATAAAACTGGTACATGTTCCATATTCTATTAAACAGTGGTATATAAATAATACAAAAATAACTAGAATAATGTCATCTAGTTCTTCATATAAAGGGAGGTATAAATAAGCTGTTTTCATGAATTCTCTGGCTTATATAGTAATTCTCTTGACGTATGTTCCAGTTTACATATTCACCAACTGCGTTTGTAATTTGCTATAAAGGATTTAAAAACCATGCTGACAAAGCAGCTATTATCATGTCCTTGACCACAATAAATATTTTCCTTAAATCACTATTCAATGTGGGGACAGATCAGATAACACAAATTTATGAATACATGGTACTTGCTAGAGTTTATATTATGTCTATGAAACAATAAGCCATTGCCCTTTTACTCTTTAATTGTTTGCATTATTTCTGTTGTTGTGATAAGTATTCTGTTTTCTTTGTACTGTTGTGAGCTGCACTGCTATTTATACTGAAGGGAAACACTAAAGAGAACAACATGGATAAATAGCATTTATAACATAATTATAGAACTCCAGGTTGCAAGTTGTACATATTACTTTTCGATGGTCTAGTTCTAGTAAAAAAAACAGCCAATAGAAAACATGAAAAAAGTCTAACATTTTATTCTTTGCAATACAATGCATTTTACCAATACAGCTCACCTATCCTTTATACTACCAGGTCAAGCTTAGATTGAGTTTTATCACAAAGAGACAGACTAAAAAGCTGAAATAGCTTTCTGATCCATATGGTGAAATCCAGCTTGAATTAAGTCATTGCTGCTGTTGTTTATTTTTTGGATGGTCCTCCTGGACTAATAGCACTTTGGGTGGATTATTGCATGCCTGGTGTTTACTTCCAAAATGAATGTGTGCCTTAATTATTTCTACACAGAAACATTTCATAACAGGTATTCTCTGATCTTCTCCTCCTCTCTGCTTTTCTTACATGTCAACACCCCTTTTGGGGGATTATGCTGTACAAAACTTTCTGATAACTCAATGCACAAGAACAGTACTACTAGCCTGAGAGCTACAGCATGGCCTAATATATAAATAACAGCCAGATATAGACATTTAATTTCTTCCAGAATTTTGGGGCTACAACTCCCATCATCCACATTACACACTAAAGAAGGAAAGCAAAATTTAGTAAGGGAGATTTATGTGTCTGTGTTGTGTCTAGAGGGTACCAAGATGAGAAGATTGGTTTATATCAGGGGTAGGCAACCTTGGCTCTTTTATGACTCGTGGACTTCAACTCTCAGAATTCCTGAGTCCACGAGTCATAAAAGAGCCAAGGTTGCCTACCCCTGGTTTATATTCTAAATGCAGAGATAAACACACAATTCAGTGTGAAGCACAAAACAGAGAATAGCAAAGAGATGGCAGAGTCAGGTCCTTCCGTATTATTTAAAGGAAAAAACAGTAAGACTCAAGCCTATTCTGATGAAATTATGATTTATAATATATTTATTATATGTAATTATTATATAATTATAGTTATATAACAACATTCAGACAAGCCTACACTGGTGTAAATATGATGAGCACATAATTGGATTTATTTCTTCTGGTAGGTACACTCAGACCTTCTACGTGTATGAAATTTTTCCACAACATACTTCCCCAACTAATAAAAGAGAACATTTGTAGCTTAGGGTTGAAATGAGGACTTGTTTTCTTGCAGATGTCTCATTACCCAAACTAGATAACGCTATCAGTTTTAGACTCACTTCCCCAATCATTTGAGTGAGACTCTGAGATATTAGATCTTCTGTGTATGTGTAAAACATGTCCTATGGCATTAAACCATAGTTCTATCTTCATATGTATTCCATACTATAACAATGCTAACTGCATGATGAGCTACAATTTGTGTGTGATTTCTTTTCATATTTTATTTATTGAAGAAAGGGAATATCACCACTGTCCATAACTGGATGTCTCTCCAAGGATATATGTGGCAGTTTGCTTTGCTTTTATTTTGAAAATAACTTATTTCATTTAAAAAGCTAGTCAAGAGGATAACATCTACAAGTATACTTTTTTCTCCCATACTTACTCAATATTTGCACAAAATCCAGGAAAAGAAGGATTAGCTGCATAATAGTCTAACAGGTAGCATTAAAGTCTGTCAGGACTGAAGCATGTTCAATTATTGTGTATACAATATTTAGCACCGAAGATATAAATCTGTCTTCCTAAATCTAACACCCTCCAGAGATGTTAGACCTCAGTTTCCGTGACTGCCATCAGTGGCTGAGAAAATCCTCAAAGTTGCAGTCCAACAGAGGGCATAAATATATTCAGGCATAATTCCTGCCCAATACCAGCTAGGTTTCTTTAACCCAGAAAATATCAGAAGTCAGCCAATTTAAGATGGACCAAAAATAATGGAACTCAGCCTGAAAGTAAACACATTACCCGTAATTGAACATGCAATTTATTTGACTTGAGTATATAGATAGTCCTCAACTTACAACAGTTCATTTAGTGACTGTTCAAAGTTACAATGGCACTGAAAAAAGTGACATGACCGTTTTTCTGTTACGAACTTTGCAGCATCCCCCATTATCGTGTGATCAAAATTCAGACGCTTGGCAACTAGTTCATATTTATGATCAATTGCTGTGTCCCACGATCACGAGATCACCTTTTGCAAGCTTCTCACAAGCAAAAGTCAGTGGGGAAAGCCAGATCCACTTAACAATCGGGTTACTAACTTATCAATTGCAGTGATTCACTTAACAACTGTGGCAAGGAAGGTCGTAAAATGGGGCAAAACTCACTTAACAAATGTGTCACTTAACAACAGAAATTTTAGGCTCAGTTGTGGTCATAAGTTGAGGACTACCTGTACTAAATATTGCATGAGATAACCTCCTCATGAGCCTGAGACATCTTGCAATACATATATTGAATACATATATTCAGTGTACCTTTGAATGGTGTATCTACTATGATTGGAGTTCTGTGGGGGAAGACAACCTGGGCAAAAAATACCCAGAGAGTATAAGGAGACTTAGCTATATGGGTTGTTATTGTTATTGTTGTTAACAATAGAATAGAATAGAATAGAATAGAATAGAATAGAATAGAATAGAATAGAATAGAATAGAATAGAATGAAGGGACCTTGTAAGTCATCTAGTCCAATCCCTTCCCCAAACAGGAGACCCTACCTACACCATTTCTGACCATGTGTTAGCACCATGTATTAGACCAGCAACACATACTTGCTATGGTTGCTTACTAAGATTACCACCATCAAAAGTCCTTCTGGTTCTATGATAGAACATTCTGCAACTGACATGATACTAAAGGTAGAGCTGGAATAAAATGGGGTGGTCAGTGGATCCCAGCTCTTAGACTTTGCCAGTTCTTCCTCCTAACCATGGAGGGGAGGAGGGGAGGGAAAAGAGAATAAAATAATGTAAATGAAGAGAGCTATGAAAAGTCTGCCTTCCCCTTTATCTGTCGCCTTTGACCTTTTCAGCACTGATTAAAATTCTTAAAAAGAAAATCGAGACTTTGAGTCCTTCCCTCTTCCACAAACGTGGAAGTAGAAACTCCTGGGTGGAGTTTCCAGCGCTAGGGATGCGGGGCAAAGGGCAGGATGTCTCCATACCTGGTTGTAGCGCAGATGCGCCAGCGATCCTGGGGGCAAGAACTCGCTCATTTTCTGCCGGGCGCCCATCTTCTGCAGCATCTGGCCGAGCTGCTCGCTGGAGAGACTCCGGTTCCCTCCGAAGACCGCGAAGAGATCCTGAGCGAAGGGCCCTCCGACCGACGCCGACGCTGCTGGACGATCTTCTTGAGCGCCGGTAGAAAAGAAGACGCCAAGTGCCAGAGCGGCAGCCAGGAGCGTCCGAGCCACGAGGGGAGACATCGCCGGCAAGCGCGAAGAGGCGAGCGAGAAGGGAGTTAAATCAACCAGCAGAAGACGCGCTGACGGCAAGCGGGAGTGAGCCTTCCTCGGGCACTCAAACTTCGGCACTGCTGCAGGTGGAGGCCGTTTCTTCCCTCCCTCTTGGGCAGGGACAAGAGCCCTTCCCCGGACGTTCCCCAAATCCTATCCCGGAAGGGTGTCGGTAGGAGAAACTGCCTCAGTCAGAGAACCGATAGATCTTCTCTTCAGTCCCGAATGCCAGGCGCACGTGGCTCTTCCTGCAACAGGACAGAAACGGTGTCAGAAGCCCTCTTGACCCCAATCTCTTGCCCAGAAAGGGCACGCTAGACTACTGCTCCCATTATGTCCAGATTGTTTACCGACCAAGAGGGCAATAATCTCAAGAGTTTATGAAGGACTGTATTGCTTTAATTTTTATTTTTATTTTGTCCCTCTGTTAATGCAACCTAGGATTGCATTGGCTTTTTTAGCTGCTGCTGCTGCTGCTACACACTGCTGGCTCATATTTAAGTGATTGTCCACTAGGACTCCAAGATCCTTCTCACAGTTACTGCTATTGAGTACTTGTACATTTGGTTTTTCTTGCCTAAGTGCAAAACCTTCCTTTTCTCGACACTGAATTTCATTTTGTTAGATAGGGCCCAGCGTTCAAATCTGTTGAGATCCATCTAGATCAGTGGTGGTGAACTTATGGCACGCGTGCCAGAGGGGGCACCTAGAGCCCTGTCTGTGGGCATGTGCGCCTCGCTCTTTGGCTAAGTTTTCACAGGAAAAAGCCATTTCTCAAGCCCCTTCCTAGCCAAAACAAGCCTCCAGAGGCTTGTTTTTGCAGGATTGCTCTTAAGAAGAATGAGGTATGCTCGCTCTGGCGGCTTGTTTTGGCTAGGAAGGGGATTCAGAAATGGCTTTTTCCTGTGAAAACGTAGCCAAAGAGCTTGCAGTCTCTGCCAGATCTCCATTGGGATATTCTTTTAGCTCCTATGTAGCGCTTCCAAGCGCAGCCAGGCCCTGCATTTGGAAGCGCTCCATAGGTGCCGAAATTTTTATCCCAACAGAGATCTGGCAGAAGGCTCCGTTTCTCAAGCGCCACATTCCAGGCATACGGAGCTTTCAGTCTCTGCCAGATCTCCGTTGGGATAAAAAAAATGTTTCCACACCTATGGAGCGCTTCCAAACGCAGGGACTGGCTGTCAGGAAGCGCTCTATAGGAGTAAAAGACTTTATCCCAACGGAGATCTGGCAGAGATTGCAAGTCTGTATGCCTGGAATAGGGTGCTTGAGAAATGGAGCGCTCCTTTCCGTGCAGTCACACAGGATGCTTCAAAATGCAGGGAATCCCTGCATTTTAAATGCACCAGAGCACAAACACTGCACAATGCCAAACCCTAACCCCCACCATAGCCCAGGCCATCCACAATGCCAAATCTTAACCCCCATCCCAGGACAACCACATTCTTTCACTAACCTTTCCAGCTCCGTTCTCCGTGTGCAGGGCAATAAAAGAAGTTTGTGGGGTTAAAAAAAAAAGACCTTCCAATTTCTCGCGGGGAAAAAAAAGATCTCGCAAAGTTGGAAGGTCTGGTTGAACTTTTTTTAAAACCGGTAGTCCCACAAGCTTCTTTTGTTGCCCTGCACGCAGTGGCGGAGAACAGAGCTGGAAAGGAAGTTAATGAAGGGAGGCTTTGGGGAAGCAAGGGGAGAAGGGAAGAGTCTGCTCTGGCCTCCGCTGCCTCACTCTGCCAGCATCAGGGCTCGGAGGCTTATTTTTGCCAGGAAAAAGCCATTTCCCACGACCCTTCCTGGTGAAAATGAAGCCAAAGTGCGCCTCGCTCTTATTGAGAGCAATCCTATGAAAACAAGGATGACAAAGGACAGCACAGTTAGTTCTGAAAATGAAATCCTTAAAGTGTGGAATTCTCTGCCAAATAATTTTAAGTCAATGAAAGCACTTGGGATTGCTTTTCTTACTTTGTTTGGATCATCTTATGCTTGTGAGCAGCTGTTTTCAGCTTTGAATTATATCAAATCTGACACCAGAAACAGACTAACAGATGACCGGAGTGCTGCATGTGTTGCTCTCAAACTTACAAAGTATGAGCCAAGGTTAGACGAATTATCAGCATGCATACAACAGCAAAAATCACATTAATTGTTCAAAAGCATGCCAAATGTAAACTTTTACCTTTCAATAAAAAGTTGTTTGTATCATTGAAAGCTTTGTTATTGTGTTTTTCTTTTAAGACAAAAGATGTTAATGTATGAGTTGTTTTTTCTAAACTAAAACCTCAGCATTTAGGTTAAATTGCCCTGTTGGCACTTTGCGATAAATAAGTGGGTTTTGGATTGCAGTTTGGGCACTCAGTCTCTAAAAGATTCGCCACCACTGATCTAGATCTTGAGCCTGTCTTCTGAGGTATTGGCTATTCCTGCCAGTTTAATATCATCAAATTTGATGAGTTCTCCTTCTATTCCCTCATCTAAATTGTTTATGAAGATGTTGAAAAGTACTGAGTCTAAAGCAGAACCTTGGGGTATCCCACTGCTTACTTCCCTGTAGATATAGTTTTATTACATCTGTAGATATAGTTTCATTAACTCTGTTGTTGTTGTTGTTGTTACAAATTTAAAATTCAGTACTGCCAATAATAAAGGAAAATCTCATTTCCCAAATCAGCCCATAATTCCATTTGCTCTATATTGACTGATAGACCTATTTGAACTTCAGACGTATCTCTTTCTTAACTGTCCCAGAAACTGAAACTGAAATCTGGCATATAAAGAATGAAATCTGGCATATAAAGAATAAGACTATTATTGAGCAATTCTATTTCCTGTTGAGCTCGACTAAGATCACCTTCTGTTTGATAACAACACTCTTCTGTTTTTCACTAGAGAAGGAATGTTTTTCTAGTTACATGCAACTCAGATTTTCTCGCTCTTTAAATCAAAGATGATCCAGCTAAATAAACTTTGTTTGGTTCATATATCACTATAATCCACAGTTTCGTTTATCTGTTTCTGTGAATGTCAATATAATCTGATTCACATCTAATGCTACATCAAGGGTGAGCAACATTTGACCACAGTTCTAAAGAGATTATTAGAATCTGATAGATGCCACAATAACATCATCTACATCAAAAGAATATTGGGCAAATAGTGGTAATAATTGCATAATTTGTGCAAAGACAAAATTTACCGGTTCCCCTTGTCCCCTTCTCTTCTGCAGATATCCATGCCCAAGTCCCTTATTGTGGCTACAGTCTTCTCTGACCACAATGCCTGAAAATCAGCTATATGATTTTCTTCATTATGTGGCAAGAAATACTTGAAACTGCAATTCAAGTACTACAGTAAGTTTAACATGGTTCAACATGAAATATCAAAATTCTTCCCCACAATCCAGTAAAACCTTGAAAATATTGGTTCCATCTATACAAATCGCTACAAATTTTGAATCAGTTAAGATATTGTGGGGACCTAAAACTTAATGAATTATGTCATAGCACAATTTATTTTGTGAATTTATACTGACTGGATCATTAACACATTAAAACACTGAAGTTATTGTACAGAATTTTACTCTCCCAAACTTCATTCGGATTAAGAGAAGCCATAGTTGAGCATGGTTGGGTCAATCTTACTTTCTATATCAAGTATATCCAAATATATCCACACGACAAAAAAGTATGCATATATCCACATACACATATACGACACAGAGAAATAACACAATCTAGTTCGGATGTATACATATACATGGCGAGAAAAAAGAATCCTGTGAATTTACAAGACAGAGTAGCACCCCAGTGCAAAAATCCCATCAGGTTAACTTTTTTAAAAGGAAAAGGAACTAGAAACATTTTAATTATTGTTATTACTGCTAACTAAAGCAATATGTAGCTAAGCATTAACTTTATTTGAAAAAATGCAAAATGCAATCATGGGCTGCAGAGGGAATGGGGCACAGCTTGGGCTTTGCCGTTTCAGATGGTAAACAATAGTTTGCTGAAGCTTAGCTCTTGCTTTGAAATGTCAACATCTGAACACAAAATATGAAAGAATCTGCCAAGAAAACAGTGGGATCATCGGGCAGTTCCCTTTATCAACTTCCTGAGTAAATGATATATATTATTAGACCACGAGTTTATGGAGTAATTTTTAACTTCCAGGTATGTCTTTAAAATTGTGCAACACATCTATAATATTTTATTTATCCACATGAGAGATATTGGCAATAACTACACACATAGCATAATCCACACATTGAATGTCAGCATTCTAAAACTCTCCTACAATCTTTTGATCTTTTACCTAAAAGACTCTGTTTTAACCCAATAAACATTATGTGTTCTTTAGCAAGAGACAATAAAAATGCTGTTTCTCAAGACAATCTCATTAAGGCTGTCTTTTTTCCTAGCACAGTTTCTAGCCTCCAAGTATTGTAGAAATATCCTCATAGAAATACCCCCATAGAAGTTTTACTTATAATTACATAGCCTGTGAACATGTTTACTTCTGTCATGTTCTCAAAATATGCTAAATAAATAATAAAGTGTAGGAGGTATTAACCAATGGTAGTCAAAAATCAGAAGAATCTTATAAAAATGCATAAGCTTTCAAGAGCCATGGCTTCATCTTCAATTGAGGATCCTACATCAGTTTATCCATTCTGTGCACCTCTTCTGATTTTGGCCAACAAACAGATGTTTAGTGACCTCTGTCTGTGGGTTGGGGAAGATAATGGTACAACATCTTACATTTATTTTTATGAACAGCTACAGTAAGTTTGGAAATCCATGCACAGTCCTCTATCTCTAGTCATTCAACCATCTCCTAGGAAAAGAAAGCAAACAGGAACTTACCATGGCCAAACATTTTTTACAATGGGAAGACGGTAAGAATGCTTTCTCTGTTCTGCCACACAGTAATTACATTCAGCTCTCTTCATTCATTCACAAACATCTGTGTTGTCTATTCTTT